GTTTAAAATGAAACATTTAAAAGTAAAAGACGTAAAGTAAATTAATTAACTAATTATAGGAGTATAAAGTATAAATTTAAAATTGTAATCGGTTGTGAGTGTATGTGAGGAGAGGAGAGGGTGAAAAAGTGACTAAATGGTAGTATAAAAGGTATTTTGATCATTTAGAATTTGAAGACTTTTGCCTAAATAAGATAGTATAAATATACATGTTGTAGGTCCAGAAGAGATAGAAACCAAAAGCAAAGACGCGATTTCAGAAGACATAGAAGCTGGTAAAGATGCAATTTCATCAAAAGCAAAAATAACGAGTGAAAAAACACGGAGATGGAGGGAACTCTTCACGTATAAGTGTAAATCGGAATGGAGTTGGCGGGAAATAAAAAAGCAATTGGAAAGTGATAAGGATTTATTGAAAGATGATATATGGGATGACGGGAACACAGTGCTTCACATAGCGGTTGGAATGGGTCAAAACGATATAGTCGAAAATTTGTTACTGTTTATAAAAAAGGAAGCAGAAAAAGAAATACTCGAACAGAAAAATGGAGATGGAAGCACGGCCCTTCACGTTGCCATAATTGTTGGTAACACATATGCAATGATGTTGTTGGTTGATCAACACAAGGACCTATTGACACTTGTAGACAAAAAAGAAGAAGACCCATTGATTAAAGCTTTTAACAATATGCAATTTGATGCCTTTAAATATTTGTTCAAAGTCGCCGTTGATAATCACGAAGCCACGATGCTGGCCATTTCTAAAGACTCCAAAAAGGGAGCCAGCCTTCTTGTCAATGCCATTACTGCAAAACAATACAGTGAGTGAGTGAGTGCATATATATATATATATATATATATATAGCAAAAATATCCCATAATTTATATATTATAACCCCCAGAGACATATATACAGATTCACACTCGTTTGCAGGTACAGCACGTGACTTAATCATGAAGTTTCCTAAATTCTGTACGGAAAGTGATCGAGTATTGATGGCTATAGCTAGGACCTTTCCCAATGAACTAAACTACTGGGAAACACTTATCTATCCCACACCTACCTATCTGAACAGTAAGTTTCTAATTAAGCCCCCCCCCCCCTTTCGATAAATACTAATGTATTCAGATATTTTATTTCTTAATCGGTTTTACGGGTGTTTTTTTCTCTTTAAGCTTTTGAAGGTTTACTCGACCTAGTTTTTTGGTTGTTATCATCAAGTTCGTGGTGGCGGTCATGGGAGAGGAGCGGGTGGGTATTGGGGAGCCATCGCCTGCTCTTTTTAAGAGGTAAACAACAGCCTAACTATGTCAAATGCATTTGATGCCTGGTTGAGTTGGATGTTGAAAGATTTATGCATGCATGCATGGGTGATCTTAAAAGAACCTAATGTTTTATGCATTTGATTGTGCATGCGCATGCAGTTCCGGTGTTTACATTTTTTTTTGTGCGTGGATTGATAAGATCTCTAGTGTGGATGGTTTTTCTCCCACTTCGTCTGCTTTATTTGCTTTTGTGGAAGGCCGTAGCAACGCTAGGTAAGAACATATGGAGTGAGTTTCGATCCTTCATTGTGGAATTAACAAAATCTTGATGATTCTTTTTGACTTATAATTTTGTAACTTGTAGTTCCACCCATTAAGCATATCGAGAAGAAAATTAAGGTATTGGAAGAAGCTAAAATGGTTCTAGAATTGGTATGTGCCRATATAGACACGTTGATGTTCCATGGTACTCATCATCCGTATTACGACAAACCAATTCTTGAGGCAGCAATTAAAAATGCTAATAAAGTTTTTATAAATATTTTTAGACATTCGCGTGAAGCAATTAAGAGTAGACATGAAAATGGGTATGACATTTTTCAATTAGCAGTAATACATCGTTCAGACAAAATCTACAATCGCCTCTATCTAATTGGTGAGGATAAGAATCGCTATAGAACCATCAAAGATTCTTCAGAAAACAATATGTTACACTTGGCTGGAAGATTGGCACCTTCACAAGTACTCAAACGTAGAACAGGTGCAGCATTGCAACTACAAAGAGAGCTTCAATGGTTTGAGGTACATATATTAAATCCAAGTATGAATCATGATTTGTTAAGTAGTGGCCTAAAGATAAATGATCATATAGGAGCTGAAGAACTTCATGCATCCATCAGCCATCACTGAAGAAAACAGTTTTGGAGAGACACCTCATCAGGTGTTTACTAGGGAACATGAGAACTTGG